GGAAGCAGCTTACACTTCCCTTGCCTCAATTCTGCAGATCTAGGGGAGATGCTTACTGTTTTCAGTGTAGATATTTTTTCATTTCATTTGATAAACTAGGAGCTTCTAGTAAAAAGTTTCATAAACATCTGCCCCTGGATTTTTGAAAATAGAAGAAATCAATGTTCTATACAGACATGATGCCTTTCTTTTGAATGTAAATATTTTAATCATTTCAATAAAAATAACTTTTTGTCTGGTAGCTATCCTATTTTCATAATAACTGCACTGTTGTAAGTTGGAAAATTAACTATTACAAGTTTACATAAGTAGGAAGGAAGAAATGTGCCATGAGGAGGGAAATACAAGCTATAAACCCAGTACAATTTTAAAATAAAGGAACATATGCCTAAACCCTTGTGTAATACAGCTTGGTAAATCCAGTCACTGTTCTACACTTTATGTAGAGAAGACTATCTACAGTTACAGTATTAGGAGCATGGAGTGATTAGAGGCTCTGAGCCACTGGTGCAGCTTAGCTGATGAACTGCAAACTCAGTCCTGACGTTCTGGGGCTAGAGCACTGCACCTGAAATCACTGATCTTCATGAGGCCACGTAGTTTTGGGGCTGCAGTGCAGCTGACAACAGTGCTTCCACCCTGAGCAGCCCAGGCTGCCACCAGCTGCATGTACCACCAGCCCTGGTCCTCCTGGGACTATGCTGCTGGCTCTGAGTCAGAGCCAGTATGCTTGAAATGGTCCAAGTACATCTGTGGCACCTGTTCTGATGTCTCCTGAGTGTGATGTGGACATTGCATCAATTAATGGGATCAGCAAGGAAGGACCAGCAGTGTGTGAGAAGTACCACACAAGGGACACGAGCTCTGGGTCAGGGAAGAGAAAGCAGCTCATATGGGCTGGTGGCTGAAGGACAGAACGAGACAACAAGTAGAAGTTGGAGTGGTTCAAAAGAGGGATCCAAAAAGTCTAAGTATAGGAAGTTGCTCTGGAAAAGAGATTGAGATGTGGGATGAGACATGGGAAAGCAAAAAAGAAACAGGAGGGGAAAACTAAGGAAAGAGATGGAGGTGAGACTAGGCATGAGGCAGGGTGTAGTACAGAATGTCTGGGGTAAGAGAAGCAGCTCCTGAAGCAAACATCCAAAAGTAGAATGGTGAGAAGGAGGAAGGAAGAGGAAAAAGGAAAGGGAGAGAAGGCAGGGAGGAGTTGAATAGTTGTTTTTTGCGTTTTACTCTATGGGACCCTAGGAACCAGCCCCTAGACCCAGGCAGACATGGCCATGCCACATTCCTGGGCTGCTGCTCAGTGTTTGACACTTAGATCTGGGCTAAGGTGGTACTGGTATAAAGCTGGGCTTTGCCAGCAAATTTTCACTGCTTCAGATACAGTCTGTGCTGGCTGGAATAGCATGACATGCCGTTGCTAAGTAATATTTGCCACATAGAAAAGCTTTATGCACAATTAGCTGGGCTGAGCTGCTCTGCCATCAGCTGTGGACAGTGTCTGTTTCAGCAACTGATATGCAAAGAGCTCAGTTTTCAGATGCAACTTAAAGGGCTATAATTTGCCCCTAAAAATGTAGATTGTTGTGACATTCTTATTATCTCTTCTGGTATGTAGCACAGCTAGTTCTTTTTCCTGCTACAGCAGTGCAGTTGTTGCCTCTAACACAGCAAAAGATGAAGAATCAGCCCATGCCAGTGCAGGCAAAAAATAAGCAGTGCCAAAAAAGAAGGGGCAATGAGAGAGAGTAACACAGAGCAGCAGGAGGCAGGTGGTTTGGGAAGCTCTGGGAAACTGCAGAAGCATGGAGCTGTCTGCTGTGTTCTGTGACTGAGCAGAGAACTTCCAGAGGGAAGGAGGATACTTCACAAAGGCACAAACGGCAGTCACAGGGATATTGCTGTATTTAGTGTTTGCATTGTGAAAGTCAGGATGGAACTTTATGGCTATAAAATCCCTAGCCCTGCCCAAAAAGTAGCTTTACAGAGCTTGTTTCTGTTCCCAACAGGTCTAAAACCAACAAACCATATGTGTATTTTAACATGTTCTTTATAGCTGCCTCTGAAATTTTCCAGGGAGGGATGAATTTTTAAAAAGTGAATGGGGTGTGGCAGTGCTATAGGCAAGTGAATTGATAGTAAAGAGAAACACTAGATCATTCTCTGGCATTTTAAGATGATAGCTACTGCTTTAAAGATAAAATAACAGTTCATGGACCAACAGTTAGAGATGTTCGTCACTGACCTGCTTCAATAATTTGGGGTTTTTTCTGGCTGCTGAACTTTAGAAATCTTGGGAAGAAAAATTTATGGTCTGTGTCTGCTCAGGGGGAAGATTATTAAACAAGCAACCTCAAACAATTAAATAAAACCTTAGCTATATACAATCATTTTAATTTTGTCCTTTGATATTGCTCATCTGATTAAGTTCTTTCCAAACAAACTTCACACAGAACTTGGCCTATGAGGAGCGGACTAAGCCCATATGTATCCTGACAGGAGTGTTTACTCAAACAGAGTTATCCCAGCCTTGCTCTGTGTACTTGGGGACGTAAAACGGCCTGGGGACAGGAACTCAGAGAACAATAAGGAGAGAGAAACTTAGAGGAAATAACCTACTGAGAGAACAGGAATGCACTGAGAGTAGAAGAATCAGTCAGATGGGGAGACATCAGATATTGGGAAAATGACCATGAAGAGGGAGCAAAAGATGCCCATGAAGAGAGGTTTGGAGAGGAGCAGTGTGGAGAGAGAAGTGTTTTGAAGAGGGAGAACAAGGGCTGCCAACACGGCAGGGCAGGGTGTGAGAAAAGATATTTCTTGGGGTGCAGCACCCCAGCAAAGAAGGGATGCAAGTTCACGGGCGGTGAAGAGGAAGAGACCAGATGGCACTGACATAAACTTTGACTAGGGAGGCTGCTCTTCAGCCAGCAGATGAGTATTTCTGGCTGCAGAAACGTTCTTTCCTTCCCCATCTTCCTGGACAGGAGCAGATGGAGACATAAGCCTTGACCACGTAAGAAATTTTGAGTTTGGCACTGTCAAATCTGCTGTACCGGTGGAAGTTCACCTGGCTGCCTGGTCTGGGGCAGAGCAGGGCTGGCTCATAGTCCCTGCCCTGTGGTAACCTTCTGTGGAGGCAGTGCTGGCAGTAATGCAGAGCTTTCTGCACCGATAGTCTGACTGCAGCCCAGGCACTGCTGGGTTTGACTTGCTACTCATTAACAGTGTCCAGGCAGTGCTCCCTGCTGAAGGACCAGCGAGGATCAGGGATGGTAACAGTGTAGCCACACAAGCTCTGTCAGCACCTGCTGCTTTTGGGCATGCTAGGATCTGTGATCCTTCCCATGGATGGACCAGCTTGGAGTTCTGGTACCCTGCTAGATGGAGCCCAAGAGTGAAGCCCTCTCTGCTGAACTGGGTGCAAGGGGATTGCTCTCTCCTTGGACAGGGCTCCCTGGGCCTGGGGAAAAGATTTCTCCCTGCCATTCTAACCCAGTCCTTCATTTGGCAGAGGAGTAGGGAAGGATGGTTGCCCCCAGACCGAGAAAGAGCAATTTATGGGGCCCCGAACTACTCAAGACACTGCGGAGAGTGTGCCAGGAGTGACAAGAGCAGTGGGATGGTAATGAGAGGATACACATCCAAGTCGCCCTGCAATATATCAGGGAAAATGCCTCAGTGTTGGCACCACACCCTTCCAGAAGAGTGCACAGGCACCGGTGAGGGGCTTGCAAGTATGGCAAGGGAGGAGAGCCCGTTGTGCAGTGCCACCATCTGCCGGCTGCAGACCCGGTGCGGGCACTGAGCGTCCTGTCCATGGGGTGGACATGCGGGATCGCCTGGGGCCCCACGGTGGGGTAAGGGTCTCCCGAGGGGGGGGAACAAGACCTCTCCGTCCAACCCCCTGGGTGTGACTTGCGCTCGGCATTGCAGATGGAGGAGGGGGACGGGGTGGGGGGATCCCTGCTCCCAGCGCCGCAGCTCTGCCACGGCCCGCGGATGAGCCCAGGGCGGAGGGCGGGCGGAATTGACGCCTCGCTGTTTGCTTCCAGAGCTGCCGGGAAAGAATCGTCTTCTGCAGGATAAAGTCCCTGTCTAGGCGGGTGAATTGCCCGTGTCCAAAGTCTACAGGCAGGAGGCTGCCTGCTGCAATCCCTGCGAGAGGGATAACTTTTACAATACACGGCCTGATTGCAAATAAGTTACTAATAAGCCGCTTTGGCGTAAGAACGGCTCTATGCATTATTTCCTAAGATCTGTTTATTTGCAAATATTTCTCTGTTTTTCTTCTTTAAAAAAAAAATCGTTCGGGAAAATTAGAAAAAAAGGTACAGAAGTTAATATTTAGACATTCATACTATTAAGTAATAGAGCTATAAACTCTCAAATAAGGCACTTTCATTTTACTTAACAATAGATAACACAACAGCGACAGTGGAACAGACCAAACAAAAGCGATCACCAAAATTGTTGTGACAGTACAATTACCCGGCTAGGAAATTTATTCAATATGCTTTGCCATTGCATTGACACAGCAGGAAAAAAAAAGCCCAAATGCTCAGAGAATAATACAAGAAGGCAGGAGGTATTTGGAAAAAAAAAAAAAGATTTATTTTGAAATAACTTTTTAAAGAGATACTTTGCCTCCATGATTTGTTATCGATGTGCATCTGACACGATACAAAACAAACAAACAAAGAAAAAAACACGTTCTGTACAGAGCTCTAAAATGAGCCGCGATTATCTACAAGATGAGCTTGACGCTTGGGTGTGGGTTGGAGAGGGGCCCGATCCTGCAGTCCGCACTCTCTAAACGAGTTTCGCAGACATGTGGTAGGAAAGCCTGGCCCCGAGTCTGCGTGCGTGTCTCCGTGTGTGTGTGTGTGTGTGTGTGTGTGTGTGTGTGTGTGCACGTCTGTGAGTTCCTACAATACACTCCTTGAGTAAAGTGGGCAAGTTGGAGCTGCCGGAGCGGGCGCGGGTCCCTGGCTGCTCTAGAAGTCCTGCCGCGGGGTGTGAGTTAGACTGTGCCGCCGTAGATCACAGTTTCGCCTGAACACTTTGCCGCACTGCTCACAGTTGTAGGGCTTGATGTCTGTATGGGTAAGAAGGTGAGTTTTCAGGTTACTTCTTTGATTAAAGGTTCTTCCACATGTGGGGCATTTGTGTGGAGATTCCTGTTCAGATTTGAAGCAAGCAAAGGATTAATCCTTCACAAACCACCTTGTTTAACGTATTACTGCACTTTTTCTCACCGCAACGCACAACTTGAGATATCGGGGGAGGACACGAACGAGAGGAGCCCCGTGCGGCCGGGCGGCCGCCCACATCTCCCTATCCTGCCCCAAGAGCCTTATTTTATAGTTCTCGAGTAGTGATGTTCCGCGGCCCTGGGGCACACGGAAAACAGCCTCCACGCCGCCCTCCCGCTCCGGGACACCCGCTGCCCGCCCGGCTGCCCCGCGCCCGCCGCCGCCGCCAGGGCAGGGCTGCAGCCCTCAACGAGAAACGCCTCGAAGCAGCGGCGTGGACAAACCCGAACCCGGGGCTCACTCTCCGCCGCCAACCGCGTCCCCGCTGTCTTTAAGCCCGTCTCCCAAGGGTGCCGTTTATCCGCCGGTCTCCCGCGGCCGCGGAGGTAATCACGGGCCGCTGCTCCCCCGCGGACCCACGGGGCCGTCCAGTGCCGGACCCCCCTCGCTCCCCTCCGCACCAGAGCCCTGTTCCCCCGCTGGCCACCGCCCCTGCCCCGCGGCGGGCCAAGCCGAGCCGACCCGAGACGGGCCGGGCCGGAACAGCGCCGACGGCACACGCGTTGAGAGGCCTGGGAAGGGCGGGCTCACCTGCATGTGTAGGGTTTTGTGGACCGCCAGGGTCCTGGACTGGCAGAAACCCTTCCCGCACTCCTGGCACTTGAAGGGTTTCTCTTTGGAATGGATGTACCTGGAAGGCAACCCGTGGGGTGAGCAGCGCTGCCGGAGGCGCGCGGGCCCCGCGACCCCAGACCCCGCTTCTCCAAACTCGACCCCCTCTCCCAGACGCCCTCACCCTCCTCTTCCTTCCTTTCCCCATTACTATTCTGTGTATGCTTAAACTTCTTGGCCGGTTCAAAACATTTGCAATAATTCGTATCGAAGCGTGACTGCACTCTCTGGTGCCAGACCGGGACAGCATCTGGGCTGCCGGCCGGACCCGAGCCGCTCTTCTCCGAAGGCGGAGAGGATTCTCAGCTCTGCGGCCGCGGGCCCCTCTCAGCACGGGCCGCAGCGTGCGGAGATGGGTGAGGGATCAGCAGGAAGCGCTCACCTGCGACCCGTCCTGTTCCTGCACCCCCCAGGGTCATGATTCAGAAGCACAAAAGCCCCGGGATCTTCATCTCTGGCTGTGAACCCCTCTAGCTCTCCCTCAGGCGGATGCCCTTCCCACACAAAGCGCAGGTTTCGGCTGCCCTGGTCCCTCCGTGGCCTCCGAATCTGAGCCGGGGGCTTTTCCTGTACTGTTTCCGTGGCTCCTGGAGCCGCTGAATCTCATCCCCCTCGAGCGGCTCACCCCACCCCGACTGCCCACGGCCCGACCCCGGTCCTGGTGGTCCCTCACCGGTGGTCCCGCAGGTGGTCCTGCCTCCGGAAAGCCTTGTGGCAGATGTCGCAGGTGTAAGGCCGCTCGTCCGTGTGGGTTCGCTCGTGGATGAGGAGGTTATAGGACTTGGTGAAGTGCCTGCCGCAGAACTTGCAAATGAACTCCTTTTTCGTCTTGGAGGGCAGGCGGCCGCGGGAAGGCTTCCTGTCCGGGGACAGTTTGCTGATGCCCGACAGGGGCGAGGCCAGTCCGGGACTCAGCTTGGCGAGCTCCCCCACTTTGGGAGGGTCCTCCTGCGTGGCGGCCACGGCCAGGTTGGCAAAGTCAAAGCGGGGCCTGTCCTTGTGCAATGCTGGGAGGACGTGGGCGATGGCCCCTTGCTTGGGGTGGAAGAGGTGCGTGGCAAAGGGGAGCGCGGGGAAAGGGAAGCGGGAGTCCACCAAGCCCTGCGCCGCCATCTCCGTAATGGTAGAGCGGGTGATTTCGTGCACATTGGGGTAGCCCAATGTCCAGTGGTTCATGTGCATGGTTTGCACGGCGCTGAGTCCGTACAGACCTTGCAACTGGTCCACAGCTGCGGGGAAGGTGTTCACAGCCTGGAGGAAGGAGTAGTTAGTGAGTTGCAGGGACGGGTGCAGTGGGATGGGGGCTGGCAGAGCCTTGCTTCCCATCTTCCCGAGGTGGGTGCGAGCCGGCAGAGCAGCTGGTGTCTCTGTTGGGCTTCCGAGACCGGGAGAAAATCCTAGGAAGAAAGAGGGAGAAAGGAGGAGAGAGAGACTTTTACTGAGAGCAGCGTGGTGCTCCTTAGCCGAGGCGAGCGCAGCAGCGGAGCCAGGGAGGGCCAGGCACGGCTCTGGTGCGCTGTCTTTCCGCGGCCCCAGTGCCCCGCAGCAGCACAGGCTCCCGTCCTCCGCCGGGACCGGTGGCCAACACCGACCCACGGCGCGATCGCTTCGACCGGAGAAGCTAAAGCGTAGGAAATAAATAAATAAAAATAGCTTTCCCAAAACAACCACCCCAAATTAAAACAGAAAGGAGAAAACCCAGCACCGACCCAACCGAGGGCGCCACAAATTCAAATTAAACGAATCGTGTAAAAATACAGACGGAACGGAGACGCGGCCGGGGACGAAGCCTCTCCGCTTTCCGTCGCCCAGCCACCTTCCCCAGCAGCGCCCACCGCGGGGACCCCGGAGCCGCCTCCCTCCTGGCCCCCGCGCCGACCTGGCCCCCGGCGTCGCTCCCACCCTCCGCCCGGCCTCCTGCGGGCGCAGAGGCCCCGACCCCGACCCCTCCTGGCTGGGGCCTCCCCGGGATAGAGCAGGGTGTTCACGGAGAGCCGAGTCAGGCCCGGGAGGCGGAGCGGGGGAGAATAAACCCCGCGTTCGTCCTAGCTCCGTTGCTTATTTTTCTTCCTTCAACAACAACTCATTTATCAAGATAACCGAAGGAGAGTAAAGGAGCCCCTACTCCGCGCGCACACCTCCTACCCAGCCCCCCGCGCAGCAGCCTTCCCAGCGGCGGCGAGAAGAGCGGCCGGCCCGGAGGCCTCCCCGGCCCGCCGAGGGCCGCCCGGCCCGGCGCTGCCCCGCAGTCGCTCCCTCCGCGCCGCGGGGCCGAGAAGGGCGACCGCAGCCCCGGGGGACGGAGCCGTTCGGCCGAGCCCCCCGCACCCCCTCGGGCGTCCCTCGGCCGGGAGCTTCACCGGAGCGGCGGGGCCGTGAGTTAATGAGCGATGTGTGACTGTCAGAGGGTTTCACTCAGCCCATTCAACCGAAACCGCCGGGCCCGCCGCTCCCGTCGCAAGGGGGTCCCTTCGGCGGACCTGGGGCGACGCTCCCCCCCACACACCCCCACCTCCGCAAGGCAGGGGGACATCGGCGAGGGGGGCAAGCCCCTGCCGTTTCCTTTTTTTTGCTTTCGTTGAGGGTTCACTTCCAGCAGCCGAGAGGCTGACGCGACCCAAGAAAGCGGCCAAAGCAAACGCCGGGGTCTCTCCGGGCCTGTAAACAAGAGGTAGGGCCGAGGGTGACCCAGCACCTCAAGGGATTTGTGTGGAGGGTCTGGTAACGCGCAGTTTCCAAAATAAACAAGAGAACCTCCTCCCGCAAAAATCCCTAACCCACCCCCTCCAAACAACAACAAAAATTAAGGAAACTCTCCGAGTGCAGAACCGCGCTCCGTGAGCGGTGTCCCTGCCTCCCGCTGCCGCCCGGCTCCTACCGTTCCGCTGGCACCGCGCGCACTCCGCCTGCGAAGACACTTTTCGATCTTTTTCCTAAAATACCTTTCCCTCCACGTTTGCTGCACAGCACAATTGGCCGACTGAGGAAAAAAAAATGTGGCTAGGAGGTCGGGTGTGAAGTGCAGTGCTGCCTACTCCTGTTTTCGTTTGCCTCGAGTTGTGGGTCTCCGGAGCTTCCTCCGCCGCTGCCCAGTTTTCCTCGTTTGTGATTGTATCGACACCGGGGACAGTTATCGATACTATTATATATGGCCATCTTTTCGTTTTATTGTTGGGGGGGTGGTTATATATAGAGACTTATTTTTAAAGATGCCGTAGTGTGAGTTCCTATTCGCTTTCCGCAAGGAACCGAAACAGAAGCAATTAAATCACTTTTCGTTGGCTGCTCCGGCGGCTCCTGCCTCCATCCCGGTTGTTTGAGGCTGGGTTTCGGAGCCACCGGTTGGGAGCTATGACCGAGGTAGGAGCAGTGTTCCTGTAGGGCAGAGCTCCCTCTGTTACAGCCGCGTTTGGCGGCTGCGTATGGGGGTGCCATTGCACCACGCTCATTTTGGAGTCCAAGAATCAACTCTGAGAAAACTATTCTGAACACGAAATCCTCATTTTAAGGTAGAAACTTCTAAAACCACACTTCTGTCTGAATGGCGGTACATATGCTACTATTTGTATTTGGAAGTAACTTTAGTAAAACGTATAAAAAAAGAATAAAAAGCGCCTTCGAAAGGGATTTTTAAGGCCATTTATATTAAGGTGTGTTGGGGCGGAGGAGTTGAAAGTCAACCAAAAACGGATGTTACTTAAACCTTGGCACTTCCTTTTCCCTTTCCATTCAGAGAGCTTAATTAAATTAAGCCCGGTGCCAGGACAGCCCTCTCTACCTGCTTGCCGCCGACCTGCTGGTCCGGCCCGCGCTCCCCGTTCTCCCGCGGCGGGGCCGGGACCGTGCCCCGAAGGCTCTGCCGTCCTACCCAGGGATAGGGTGGGCACCGGGTCGCCTCCGCTCCCCGACGGCCTCACCCGAAGCCGCGGCCGCCGCTGCCCGCGCTGCCAGGTGTTTCCCCCGGCCGAGGTTTCTCCAGTGCGACCCGCGGCTTGGCTCGCAGTCCATGCACGGACCGGCTGCTCCCTGCCAGGAGTTTCGCGTGGAGGACATGGAGAGCGCATCCCGGGAGGCTGCCGTCGCCTGGCCTCGCACCAACGCGCCCGCGGGGTGGAGGGGGGGACACCCGCACCCCAAGCCGCCGCGGAGCTGCGAACTGAAAGTAAATCCGGCGGCCCCGCGCTCCCGGCTGAGCGCACGCTCCGCTCCCGGGGCGGCCGCCCCGCTCCCGCCGACGGCAGCGGGCAGGGCGGGTCCCGGAGCCACTCACCTACCGCAGCCTGCTGCTCCTCCGGGGGCAAAGCTGAAGCGGCGGCCGCGGCACCTTCACGGAGACATTAGATCCACAGCGAGGGCGCTCAGCGGGGCCGGGGCCCGGCGGAGACCGGCATGTTGCGGAGGGCTGGGCGGCGGCTGGGAGCTCTGGCCGCGGCGGTCCCGGGGCCCCGGCATAGACCGCCGCCTCCCGCCCGCAGCCTCCCGCCTTCGACCCCGGTGAGGCTCGGCGCGAGTCTGAGCCGCCCCCTGCCCGGTCCATCACATTTCAGCGGTGACTGGCGTGGAGCGCTGTCCCCGCCCGCCCGCCGCCGCCGCCGGCCCACCCCGCGGCGCGCACAGCCCCGCGCTCGGGGCCGCGCCGCTCCGCCCCGACGGGACGGGACGGGACCGCCCCCGGCCGCGGCCCCGGCCCCGGCCCGCCCCGCCGTGCCGGCCCCACTGTTTACTTGTGTTTGGGTAGCAACTGGGCTTTAAAGTGGCAGGACGCCCCCCGCTCCCCCCGCGTCACCTAAGGTGACTTTTCCCTCCGAGAACAGCTCGACGCCCCCCGTCCCACTGCCTGCCGCGGGTATTTGCGCGTTCCTTGCGTCTCACCGCCCATCTCGGCTGCCCGTCGTGCCCCAGCTGGAGTGACATAGGTGGCCCGACTGGCTTAAATATCTAAAATAACACCCCCAAACCTAGAGTGTGGGGTTGAGTGGGTGCCTATGTGGCCAAGAGTGGGTGCAGATAGTGTTCAAGTCCCAAGTGGGCTTGTGGCCGTCATGTCGGGTCGCCCTATGGACCGTCAGCGTTTCGGCGCTGCCCTTTCACTGCGACTGAGTCGCTTAAGGGCAGACTCGGGAAGAGAAGCTCTGCGGAGGCATCCCCATGCTCAGTGACTAAGCACACAATCCCTACCTGGAACAGACACATAGTTTCAAAAGCAGTTTCGATTTATTACCGGAGAATTTACTGCTAAATAGGGCCTCCCTAACCCTCTTCAAATGTCTCGATTAGGGAGCTCTATTCACGTTCGTCCACAATTGCAATGCGGCTGATTGCATATGTCGGCTTTGGGTTACATTTTTATCTGTAATATTATCTTGTTATGTGCGTTATTTCAATCACATGTATGGGGAATTAATCGTATAATCTGGACTGGAAATTGGAACAAGAATTGGAAAAGGACAAAAATATGTCGGAGAAAATGGCACTTAAAGGATAGCTTTGAAAAATTTTCAAAGGTAAGGTCTATGCAGGTTAATTCAAGCCCGAGGTAGAGAAGAGGACATAAATTACGGCTACATGGGGATTTTTTTTTTCCTTTTAGTGTCCAGTAAGAAAAAAGAGTGGGCAGAGGAAGTTTCGGCCGTGTCCCCTCACAGAGCAGCGCAGCCGAGGATGGCGCACGTTGCAGCCCGCGGCTGCCGCCGGCCGCCGGGGCTATTTTTCGTTTCTTTTCAGAAATCCCTGCTTCGAAAATGCTATGTTTTAAATCCAGACAGCCTAAATAAATAGTATTTCTTCTCCCGGCCAGTGAGGATACGGAAGTTCACAATTCGAGGAGAAGGACTGATTTCCTCGGTCCGGGTATGAGGTGGGTGCGGGCCGCCTCGGGGAGCCTGCACAGGGCAAGGGCTCGTCGGCTGCGGCTGGGCTGGGGGACTCCGGCAGGACGCGGGGGCAGGACCCGCATCCTCTCGTTTTGCTTTCTCGAAAGAGGCCGGCCGCTTCAAGAACGAAGTTAAAAGGGGTCTTTAGAGTCGCAATTTCTTCCCCGCACTGCTGGCTTCTGGATACCAAGAGCAACACTCCCGGACTCAAGGATCAAAGGGAAATTGTTTCAGGACAACCATAATTTCTTGCGCTTTACAGCAAATAGAAATAAGACGCATTTGTGGACAAGAAAAAAAAATATATATTTAACAACCAACTCAAAATCAAAACCAGAATCTAAAAACATCCGTAAACAACAACGACCTCCTCAAATCACAAGCCGACCAGGCAACGAAAATGCCCCAGAGCGGAGGGAACTCGGGAGGCAGACAGTGCGGTGCGACGTCACT